TTTTTTTTTTTTTTTTTTCTCCTCTTTACCTTTTTTCCTCTCTTTTTTTTTTTATTTATTTATTTTGACTTTTCCTTCACATTTTCATGCCGTACTCCTTCTCTTTCCTCTTCCTCACCCTCTCCGTGCTGCACCGGCAGCAGTCGCGCATCATCCCGTTCCCGCATGAGCAACTCGTACTCCTGCCGCCGCCTGTACGGAAACACCGCGAGCAGCGCGAGGCCGCCGATAAAACACACGACGGTGGCCCCAACAAAAACATTCAGCGCATCGCCCTGCGAGGGGGAATTGCCAAGAACAGCACCAAAGACAATCGTGAGAATGAGATTGGTGAGACACGCAGACCACGTGAGTACTGGCGCGCTCGTAGACTCCGACATTGGGAATGTGAGTTCAATAACAAACTCAAACATAAGTGGCATCATGAAGTTTTGACACAATCCCGCTACTCCTCCCCAAAATAAGAACGTGACAACAACGTAATAGGTACGATTTTCATGAATGGGAGGACCATAGGCAAGACAGAGTGTAAGAATAGACATATTAATAGTTAATATCATCGCTATAGAGAGAAGTACAGTCTTGTATCGACGTTTACGTTCTACAAAGGGCATAATAAAAGGTGCTACAATAGTTCCAGCGAAAAGATTCATAAATCCAATCCAACCACTTTCTACTTCAGATACACCAAATGGACTTAAACACTGTGGGAGTACTGTGGCAACAGCCCAAATAAGACCAAGTTCTGCTGCACTGGCAATCATAAGAAAACCAAATGAAGGATTAGAACGCAACATACGAAGAGCATCCAATACAGTAGAGAAAACATTAGTAGGAGGTGCTTCTGGTTCTTCATTTTCATCGTAATTTTCTTCTCTCCTCGTTTCTGTTTCCGTTTCCCTTATATTACCTGGTTCTTCCTCATTATGTAATCCATTTTCCGTTCCATGGTGTTGAAACATACCACGAAGAGCCTGAATTCTTTTTTCTTCTTTTTTTTGTTGTCTTGCTGCCGCATAGCTAACCATATAACGTGGACGTGCTGGAACAAGAAAAATGGCAAGTACAAATATTCCTCCACATAAACCGAATTGAAACCAGAAAAGATTTCCAAAATGATGTTTTTCCTGTTTTTCTGGAGTAACAAAGAATGTAGGTAATAAAACACCAATAGCACATCCAAAATTAAGAGCACTACTTAGTACAGTATTAGCCACCATACGTTCACTTTCTGGAAACCATCTATTCGCTACAAGAGGCGGAGTAGCAATAGTGAGAATTTCTGTAATAGAGTTAAATACCTGTGCGATATAGAGTAAAATCATATTGGGCCAAAAATAAAGAGCAATAATCTTAAGTACTGTTCCAATAGCATTCGTCAATGCAGCGATAAGGATTCCAACTCTTAATCCAGTTATTTCATACAGTTTACAACTCAGAAATACGGCAGCAACATAAGCAATCACGTATGTAGTAGTAAGATAATTTACTTGTATCGCTGTCATATTAAAGTATACACGTACTTCTTCTACAATGGCAGAAAATGTAATCCATTGCATACCATTTGATAAGGAAATAATACAGAATACAGCTCCTACAGCAAACCGCATAGGATCTCCACGAATAATAGCGGATGGTTCAACACGATTATCGTCATTCTCAGGATCATTAGATGTTATGGGTGGCGACGTAGACACAGCAACAGGCCCCAGTGATGGATCATCAAAACCAGTGGGTTGTGCATCGGCATCAAATTGCCTTTCTTTCCGCGATTCCATTCTTTTTTCTTTTTTTTTTTTTACCTATATACAACAACTACACTTACACAGCGAAAGGGAAAGAGAGAAAGAGAGAAAAAGTCACAGAGATAAAAAAGAAAAAAATAAAACAATTGTATATACGTACATATCGATTAGAGAAATAAAAAGTTAACCATATAAGCCCCACTTGAGTGTAGTTCATGAAAAAGTGAAAGTGGAGATATAGGTAAATAAAAACAGGACCAAAATCCTTTTCTTTATATCCCGAAAAAGATAATAAAAACCCAAAAAGTCATCTGAGTAATACATAAGGGAACAATGTTACCTTATATACCCTTTTTTCATCACTAGACCGCTTTCACTTCAGAAAAAAATGAATTAAATAGAAGAAAAAAAAAAAAAAAACAATTGCACAACATGAATTCAGCGCGCATTCATCATTATCACCACGTGGATGAGTAGATGTATGAAGTGTTGATTAGATCAATGAAATGTCATGGTGCGGAATTTTACCAACATTGCAGCATCTAGGAATAAAACCAATAATCAACACCACACCCCCCACCCCATAATAATAATAATAATAATAATAATAATAATAAAAGAGACACAGAGAGCGTATATATAAATGAATATATATATATATATATATTCAGTTACATACTCAAAACATACCCTTATATTACACTTCTTTCACCATTTTTTTTTTTCTTGTCTTTACTCAAATTCAGCATTCAGTACACTCTTATACAGTTCGTTTATTTTTTCTTCTTTTACTATGGGTATATATATATATATATACATATATATTACCTTGGTTTCTTTCCGCGCATCGTGCACGTGGGCAAGTCACCACACGATGGCAGTACCATCATGGCCGAATCAAGAAAAGTACTATTATAAAAGAAAGGACGGAAAGAAAAGGAAGAGGTTTGTGTGTGTATAAACACAAAAAAGGAGAAAAAAAAAGAAAAAAAAAAAAAACTAAATATAAAAAAAGACATAAGGAAAGAAAAAAACGCTGAATTTGACACACACAGAAAAAAAAAACAATACATACTTTCCGTCAGATAGAAACATATATAGTCCCTCATTTTGGTAAAACTTTTTTCTTCCGTTTTTTTTTTTCCTTTTCACATGGACTCTTTTGTTGTTTTTAGCCTTTGTCATTTTTTAACACCCCACACATATATACCTTTAAGTTTCCCACCCTGATATAAAACTAAAAATATAATGAAGAGAAAGGGTTAGAGAGTAAAAGCAAAAAAAAAAAAAACAAAGAAACAAATACATCTAATCATTTAGAATGATCCTCTTACACGGAATGCCTTGCGCGTTTGGACTTTGCTGCTCGCCGCTGCCTACACAAGTGCACCAGATCCACTTTGCCAATAGGCAGAATGTTAGACTCATACACTTCATTCACAACTTCTGCAATCGCCAAGTAAAAGGCCGAGATTCCGCAGACGATGCCTTCGTAGCCGGCCACCTTCAGCGTTGTGGGCGACTTTGCAAAGTTGCCGGCGGAGAGCAGCGCGAAGAGAATCACAAGAGAGCCAAAGACAAACATAAGCACAAGATTGGAACGCAGAGTACCGAAAAACATGGTCAATGTGAAAATACCCCACAAGAGTAAATAAGACGCAAGGTAGGTAGAGTCCGTTGGTCTCACCGCAACACCTGGATTGGTAACATTGTTTTTCAACATCCATAAACACACCAGTGAAACCCAAAAGGAACCATAAGAAGTAAACGCAACGTATGCAAAAGTGTTTCCACGGTAAAACTCAAGGAGACCAGCGATAAACTGTGCAATTCCTCCGAAACAAATTCCCATTCCAACCACAGCGGTTTCCAAGGGAAATAACCCTGTATTGTGTATATTTAAGAGAATTGTTGTCAAACCAAATCCGAGTAAACCAAGAGGAGCAGGATTGGCCACTTTTGCTGATGCCATATTTTGCTGTACGGGTCTTTCAGCGGGGTTTAGCACCCGAGCGTAATCCAATTCAAGAGAAGATTGTCGTTGACTGCTTTTATCGATGCTTAAATCCACTTCATCCTTTTCTCCTTGAATAAAAGCTTTGCGTTCTTGTGGTTCTGTCATTCTCACCTCTGTCATTTTCACTTCTGGACCCATTTTTTCCTTTTCTTTTTTTTTCGGAATCTTGTTCTCTTTGGATTTACTTCCTTCAGAAAATAAAATAAATAATGAAAAAGACAGTGAATCTTGTTGGAAAGAATACAAAAGAAACAACTCTCTCTCAAAAAGAAAATAAAATCTAACAGAATTTAAAAAGAAAACATACAAGATACATATTATCCTATTTTATTAAAAAAAAAAAAAAAACACAGAGATCAGTCCAAAAAAATAATAATAATAATAATCAATGACAATTTAGACATTGAGGTTTGAGGACTTCACTCACAAAATTTCTTTTTTTTTTTCCTTCTTCATTAAGAGGAGAGAAGGGGAAAAAACAGATCTTTAAATTTCTCTTCTTGTGTTGTAACCCTGCACATGTAACAAAAACATTATATGTGGCATATATATATATATATATATATATATATTGGTATTTATCCTTTACATTTCGTCAACTCAAACATAACTCTACCAATCGTTCATGCGTTTGTGAAGCATTAAGAGAGTAAGAAGCAGGTGTAGAAGTGACTTTCCCTATTTTTTTTTCTTTGGCACCATCTCTTTAGCATTGTTACAGCTGTTGTTCACTACATACAGAGAGCACCTTTGCAAAATAATAAAAAAAAAAAAAATGCAACGGTTCTCTTATTACTGTCTGCGTAAAAATACCTTAACATCATTAATTTCCTTTTGGAAGGGAAAAGGACGTAAAAAGTAAAAAAAAAAAAAAAAGGGTCTATCAGCAACATCATAATCGCCCACCACCATAATTACCTTCTAAATAGTTAATGATTATCATTGTAATTTAGATTAATTCAATTCCATTTTCTTTTTCTTTTTAGCGGTTTTCTTCCCTATCTTGGGGATCTTTATCCCCTATGACAGAAAGAAGGGGATACCACTCCCCATCAGTGTTTCTTTATGTTTAGTGTTAAGTTTAGAGGGAACAGAAAAATGACAACGGTGTTCGTGTTCATTCTTTTATTGGCTCTCTTTCTTTCTCTCTCTTCCTCTCTCCTACCCACTCCTTTTCCATATATATATATGGTTTCTCATCTTATTTTTTCTTCCACTGATGCCAGATATGGCTGCAACAAGCATATCAAAGGGTTAAGATAAGGAGAAAAATGGGTATTTGCAAAGGAAAATTGCGGTTAATGTAACCAAAAATGAAAAATAAATAAAAATAATAATAGTAAAAGAAACGAAGAAAGCCTTTTTTTTTTTTTTTTTTTT